CAAAACTTCAATAGAGGACCCCAGGCAACAGGAGATGTTCCATTTTTAATAAACACATAACCAAAATAAGACTTTTAAGAATATATGCAGACAGTGGGAATACTATCTATCATGTCATCAGGCCAATATATTAAATCGTACATCTCAAAAAGTAAAACCTAAAAAAGATCCATTTACTGTTAGTTGACAGGTAACTGAAACTAGAAAAATAAATCTGACCATGTATCAATATTCTGTTTTAGGCAAATTTAAAACTCTTTAAAATAAACTTCAAGTACTTTGTGACGACAATACTCGTGTTTTCATTCTCTTAAGGCTCTTTAAATCTAACTTGGCATACACTAAAACCCAAACTGAATCAGACCCACAGACTCAGTTCAACTCAGTTCTATGGGTGACAAGAGAACTGAGAGCTACATAGGTTTTCAATGGCTAATTTCTGGAAGCAAATCACTAAAAATGCCTTTCTTCCGAGCTGTCTCTGGGTAGCTTTGGACCTTCAGCCTCGCAGCAGCCAAACATGTTAACTTCACCACCCTGGATACCAACTTAACATATACAGAGCATTATACTTGAGATAAATTGTTTAGAAACACTAAGACAAACTCCTTTACTTCGGTAATTTTACAAACCTTCCTGTAAGAAAATGTTATTTTCAAGACAATTGTGATTTTAGTCAGAAGAAAATCAGCCATCCTCACAAACTACCATTTGAAGAATGTCAAAAATCTCTTCTCAACCTACCAACTGCTCTTGGTTACTAAATTAAACACATATTCTCCTAAAACAGATCTCCAAAGCAGTATTCCATATGTAGGCTTGAAATTAATAAAAGTAGGATAATCAAGAAAACTAACTGCAGTCTCCATCTTGCTCCATATAGAAATACAAAGGGGTTTAAAGATGTCATGAAAAAATAAACGATCATGAAAATTTTCTGGAAACTTTACAATGAAATTACCATTGCAAACCTATTTATGTCTCATGTTATAAAGATTGACCATATTAAGTGCTGGTGAAGACACAGAGCAATCAGAACTATCATACACTTCTGGTGGAAAATGGTACAACCATTTTGGAATAAAGCTTGGTCCTTTCTATTTTTAAATTAGACATACACATACCACATGAATCATCCATCCCACTCCTACAATTTTCCTTGGAAAAATTCAGGCATTTGTCCATAAAAAAACTTATATTACACATATACTCATAGCAGCTTAATCTGTACCCATAACCCACTGCCAGCAAGTTGATTCTGGCTCATAACGGCCAAAGGTGCAGTTTTAAAGTCAGTACATATTTACAGGAGCAGACAGCCTCATCTTTTTCCCTTGGAGCTGCAAGTTGTTTTGAACTGCTGACCTTGTAGTTTCTAACCGAAGATTTATCCCATAGCATCATCAGAGCACCTTAGATTAATCAATATAACCGCAAACTAGAAAACAATACAATATCCATCAAAAAGTGAACAAAATTGTGAGATATGACTACAGTGGAAAAGTACTCGGTAGTAAAAAAAGAATGTATTATTAATATGTACAACTACATGAATGAACCCCAAAGTAATTACCCTGAGTGAAAAAGTCAGACCCAAAAAATATTTTTGTAAAACTCTTTAAATGTGAACTAAAGAAAGCAGATCCAGTGGTTTTGTGGGACTAGGGCGGACGAACAGGAAAGATAGCAGGTATTACAAAGAGGCTGTGGTCATTATCCTGATTATGGCAGTGATTTCATAAGTATACACACGTCAAAACATTCCAAATTGTACAGTACAATGTGACTTTAAAAACAGACAGATAGAAGGACATTGGGCCTCCACTCAAGTACTCCCTCAACACAAGAATACTTTCTTCTA